TCATCATCATCATCATCATCATCATCATCATCATCATCATCATCATCATCATCATCATCATCATCATCATCATCATCATCATCATCATCATCATCATCATCATCGTCATCATCATAATCATCATCATCATCATTACGCTCCCACATCCTCAACCCCTTTCTCCTCCTTCAACTCAGCAGTAGCACCATTATCATCCTGTCCCTGCTTCCCTCGTTGCCCTCCCCCTCACCACTTTCTGTCGGCTCAGGAAGGGGAACAGCAAACCTAGACGCCACTGAACAGGAGAAGGAACAGCAAATCAAGACTGAACTCCGCTGACAGAGCTTCAGCCAGGGAAGCAGGCCGCAGACGGCCTAACACGTTTCCTGCTCGGGCTACCAAATCACTCTTGCCGAAAGGATGCTAAGCGATGTGCGCAGCCACTACCGCAGAATCACCCTCACGTCGCCAGGACTCGTCGAAGCCGGGGCGGAATGCGATCTGGGTGTATGCTCGCATAGATCCCAAGTTCCTGAGGCAGAGCAAACTTCTGGGGGATGTCCTTAAATCATAGATTCGGCTTCACGTTCCGCATGTGAGCACATCTTAGGCCGCGAATGCTGCGCCAGGCCTCGAGCAGCCTAAGTCGTTTTGCTATGTAGAGGGCAGGTAGCCACTGGTCAGTGCCCCTTTTATGACTCAATAGATGTACACATCCTGCCGTCATGCATGTATACACAATCGCTTCCACTGTCCAAAGCCTGGTTGGCCGCATGATATGCCGTGCACTCTTGTATCGCTCCCTCGTGTCTCCGTTTTCCCTCCGCACCCTTCTGCTCCGCGTGCTTCCTACTTCAATCTAATCCCACCTCAAACACCTGCGCCAACATCCTCCTGCTGACTCCGATTCCTAAACAAATGCCTACTCATCTGACATACTTCTATGCACCTTGCCATAGTCAGCATCCCTCCGCAATTCATCCTCATCTTCCTCATCCTCATCTTCCTCCTCTTCCTCGTCCTCCTGCTCCTCCTCCTCCTCCGCCTACTCCTCCTCCTCCTGGTCCTCCTCCTCCTCCTCCTCCGCCTCCTCCTCCCCCTCCACATCATCATACCTCCCTCAGTCCCTCCCCCCCCCTCGCCATCCGCTGTGACCCCTGCTCTTTCAGCGCTCATACCTCCTCTCTCCTTTCCAACCTCCCTCACCCCTCCCTCCATCCTAGCTTCCCGACCTCCCTTGTTCGTACGTACCCCTTCTCTCCATCCTCAATCAGCGCTCCCCCTCCTTCCTCCTCCTTATCCTCCCCCATCCTCATCCCTCATCCCTCCACTCTCACTTTACCTCCGATTCCTCCTGCCCCTACGCCCCGTACTGGTAATACAACCCCTAACCCACAAACGCAACAAAATTCATGACCTGTCACCACCAACACAATCATAATCATGGTCATCATCGCCAGTGCGAATCGGCATCATCGTCGTGATAACAGGTCGCATCGTCAACATAATCATCGGCCTCGCCTCGTCAGCGGCATCCTCATCAGTAGCGGCAGCAACGTCAACACCTTCATACTCGACGTAAGCGGCAGCATCATGATTATCATCGTCTTCGCCATCATCATCATCATCATCATCATCATCATCATCATCATCATCATCATCATCATCATCATCATCATCATCATCATCATCATCATCTTCATCATCATCTTCATCATCATGAGCATCATCATCATCTTCTTCTTCAGCAGCAGCATCATCATCAGCAGCATCATCAGCAGCATCGGCATGGGCATCAGCATCATCATCACCATCATCAGCATCATGATCATCAGCAGCAGCATCAGCATCAGCATCAGTATCATCATCAGCATCATCATCATCACCACCACCATCATCATCATCATCATCATCATCACCACCACCCTCATCGTCATCAGCAGCATCAGCATCACCAGCATCATCAACATCATCATCAGCATCATCGTCATTAGCATCATCAGCGTCAGTCACAACATCATCAGCAGTACCATCATCATCATCATCATCATCATCATCATCATCATCATCATCATCCCCAGCATCGTCAGCATCATCAGCACCACCATCATCATCATCAGCATCATCAGCATCGCCAGCATCATCAGCACCACCATCATCATCAGCATCATCAGCATCATCATCAACATCAGCATTATCAGCATCATGGTCGGCACCCTCATCATCATCAGCATCATCATCAGCATCATCATCATCATCATCATCATCATCATCATCATCTTCAGCAGCATCCTCCTCATCAGCATCAGCATCATCATCAACACCGTCATCGTCATCATCATCATCATCATCATCATCAGAAGCAGCGGCAGCAGCATCAACATCAGCATCAGCATCATCATCATCATCATCATCAGCATCATCAGCATCAGCATCATTATCATCAGCAGCATCATCAGCATCATCATCGTCATAATCATCAACATCATCGTCATCATCCTCATCATCATCAATATCATCATCATATGTCCAGGGCGACGGCGCCCCGGGTGGTATCCGAGCCCAGCCGATCAGCCGATCAGCCGATCAGGCCGATCAGCCGATCAGCCGATCAGCCGATCAGCGACCAGGCAGACGATCAGCCGATCAGCCAGCCGATCAGCCGATCAGCCTTATCGGCTGATCGGCTGATCGGCTGATCGGCTGCTCGGTCGCTGATCGGCTGATCGGCTGATCGGCTGCTCGGTCGCTGATCGGCTGATCGGCTGATCGGCTGATCGGCTCCGAAGCTGGGTCGGCCGATCTTCGGCCGAGAGGTCCAAGACGGCCCAAGATGGCCTCAAGAGGGCCCCAAGATGAGCCCAAGATGGGCAAGCCAACTTGAGATGTCGAGCACTGCGCCCCGAAGGGGGAGGGCCGAGACCGCCACAGGGCCGACAAGAGGCCCCCACGAGGACCCAAGAGGCCCTCAATAGGCCCAGAAGAAAAAGCCTCAAGAGGCTCCCAACCGGTCCCCCTATGCAGCCCCAAGAGGCTTCAAAACTGCCTTCAACAACAAGCTCCCCGAAAGTTTCCCAAGAGACCCCAACAGGCAGCCAAGAGGCCTCTGACTCAGACCCACAATCCTGGCACGGCGGCGGGATGGGCCGGAGGCCATTAGATCCGCCGCCCCCTGTTGACTTAGCGCAGGGGTGCCCGGCGTGCTGTACGCTACCGCTTTGGGTTTTGGTTCTTTTCCAACAGAATGCTCCCTGAACCAGCCCGCCGGCTTCCCGGAAAGGCCCGCAAGGGAGCGCAAACTGGGCCAGTCGTGGCCTCTCCCGCCCCAAGATGGCCCAAGATGGCCTCTACGACGGCTCAGATGGCCTGCAAGTTCGCCCAAGACGGCTCAAGAGAATCCAAGATGCCTCCAAGTTTGTCCAAGAAGCCCCCAAGAGGGCCCAAGACGGCCCCAGAGGTCTCCAAGAGGCCTTCAAGATGGCCCAAGAAGCCTCCAAGAGGTCCTCCAGGATGGCCCGAAGAGAGCAACATCATCGTTGTTCCTTGGGTGTTTGAATGGTTTGTTGTTACGTTTTCTTGTTTTTCGGCTTCCGACGGCCCAAGAGGCCCCCAAGATCGCCCAAGAGGCCTCCAAGACGCCCAAGATGGCCTCCAAGATGGCTGCATCCTCCTCCTCCTCCTCCTCCTCCTCCTCCTCCTCCTCCTCCTCCTCCTCCTCCTCCTTTTCCTACCTCACCTGATCCTCCCCCCCATCCTCCCCCAAGTGTTCCCCGAAGAGCTTCCCGAGCAGCTGGGGGAATACATGGTCCGATGGTTTGGTCAAACTGGGGCCCAACTATTGGCCACAGAGGTACTTCCCAGAAGGCAGGGGGCGGCGGTGATTCGCCGTGGGCGTCTTCGATAGCTCCCGAAACTACGCTTGTGCGGCTCTTGCCTACGCGCGCGCACAACTCCTTTATCATGTTCCTCCTCCTCCTCCTCCTCCTCCTCCTCTTTGTTTTCTTCCTCCTCCTCCTCCCGCTACTCTACCCCCCTGTCCCTGTTGCCGTCGCAGTCGCAGCAGCTGCCCTCGTCACCGCCGCCCTGTTGCCGCGACAGCGCTAGCGACTGCGACAACCCCGGCGCGGACATGTTCGGTCTTTGCGCGCGCGTGGCCGGGCTAAATATGCGGCCGCGCCGCCGCAACAGCTCTCTGCGACCTGCCCCGCAGGTCGCGGCCCCGAAAACGTTCAACCCATGTCTGCAGAAGCCGAGCCCCTCTCGAATTGTGCGCCCCGCGGGCCTGAGCTACCCGCTCCGAAGGCGCGCCCCGGCCAACAAAATCCAAGCCAATGGTGGGACTGATGTCGGCGCAAGCCAGCCAGGGCCCGCGCGGAGTGCGGCTGACGACCGCGCAATAGCTAACCTGGTCAGAGAAACGGTGCGAACAAATGCCTAAAATGGTCGAGGCATGCGCCCTCCGTCTTGTCGAGCTCAACCCCGAGCATGACGACGGTTTCCAGGCGCTGGGCCAGGAGGGAATCCCTCTCTGCCCACGCGGGCAGACACCCCGTGCCGCAGTGGCGGTAAACCTCAAGAAAGCCAGCTGGCTGAGGACATTGAACCAGCGAAGCGACACTGTTCGGGCGCCTCGCGGGAGCATCCCTTTGAGACACTCCCAGAGGCGCTCCACAGGCACAGTGCCCGATTGCACGGGCACTCCCGCGGAGCGGATGGCCAGTGCCGCCGATTGCCAGGCCCACAGGCCTTCAACCCTCAGAGGCTTCAGGAGGCGGCGGTAATGCGCTCGGACCTTGACGGACCAGACGCTGCGAAGGCCGCGGACCTGCTCGGGCTGATTCTCGTCGCGAATGATTCCCCGACGCCTACGGGTGGAGCGGCGGCCCGGCTTGTACCACTTGGCATTCCTGCGGACTTCTGCCTTGAAAGCCTTGGGGGAGGTGCGCCCACGAAAGCCCATGGACGAGTCCACCTGAACCCCGGCGCGCCGCGCGATGCGCGACACCACCCCCCGCGGGGGGTACGAGCCGAACTCCTTCTTCCAGAGGCGGTACTTCGACACGTTCGGCAAATGCAGGAATCGTCGAAGGTCCGCGGCCCCGTCGGCATCCGCGCCCATGCTTGCCTGGAACGCCGCCGCGGTCTTCTCGATTGCGGTCCTGAGCAGCGAAACGCCCGCCGCCGAAGGGCCCCGGGGGCGCGGGCGCGGGGGCGCCTGCCCGGCAGGCGGTGCGTCTGGAGGCGGCGCTGACAGACGTGACAAAATGTCATGGTGGTCGTGTATGAACTCGCGGCAATCGTTGCACGACGGGCTCACGCAGCGCCGCAACGCAATGACCTCAGATGGCCCGCGATGGGCATCGATCGGCAGGGCAGATCCAGATCGGCCAGGCCCCGAGCGCCGCCGGTCGGCCAGGGCGTGGATCCCGGGTCCGACCTACGCGATCAGGGATCAGCCAGATCTACGATTGCCTTCAGCCTACCGCCGATCGACCCACACTCCGCAGCCCGAACCGGGCCAGCCCTGGGGGCCAGCGCAAGCCGAGGCAGCGGCGTCGTGGACGGGGTCGCCAGCGATGGCCGTCAGAGGCTCGCTGATGCGATCCGCGGCCTGCGCGCCGTCGGCCTTCGGCGTGTCGGCAACTGCGATAGTCGTCTGCTCGGGGTACTTGCCCATGTAGAACTCGGCGAGCTTGAGTCGATGTTTGCCGTACACGTCCGTGCAATGGCACATCGGCGCGCTGGCGGCCAGGCCCAAGCCCGCTTCTTGGCGGTCACGTTTGAGGCTGGAGACGACGTCGTCGAGGTCGGGGAGCAGGTCGACAAGGTCCTCGGTCTTGCTGGCAATGACGGGCTTGAGGAGCGCGCCGTCCACGCCAATCCACACCAGTATCACGCTAAACTCACGCCCCTGGTCGTTGCGGACGCGGGCGGCGAGGTCCCAATTGCCGCCCCCTCTGACGACGGAGCCGCTGTAGAGGTTGACGTGTTTCCGCATGTGCTCAACCAGCGGGCCCAGGTAATTCTCTAAGGCGTCGCAGATGAAAGCCCTCAGCGCATCATTGCTGGGCACTGCCGACAAGTACCACAGCGCGCGCGAGCCCACTGAGAAAGCCAAGCAATTTGCACTGTAGTACTCAGCAATTGCTCGGCGAGAGGCCCGACCGCAGAATGCCTCGCTGAAGTTCTGGAGCAAGTGCAGCAGGAAGACGCGCGTGGCGAGGATGAGGGCGTGCTTCTTAGTCTGCAACGCCAACACCCCGGGGCACGCTGCTCGGATATCCGCCAACGTCACTGGAAATCCACAGCAATCTCGCGCACCACGGGCATGACACGTTTGGCATCGGTGCGCCCCCACCTCAAGCTGGAGTGGCAAGGGGAGGTCCAGGACGAACTGCGTCTTGGACTGGTCGGCCCGGGGAGCAGTGCAATGGCGCTCGCCCCTGGCCGCGGCCTCTGCCACGTGCGCATCTACGGCGGCAGGGCGAGCCACGCAGACGTTGCGGAACCCAGGCCCCCTCTGGCGCGCCTGGGCACGGTCGCGCGCGACGTCCCACAGCGCCGCCAGGGTGCGACTGAGTTGCGCCAGCGCTTTGTCGCAGCCGGCCTCGTCGCGCCAGGAGGTGAAATGGAGGCTCGACCGCTGGCCGCCGCTGCGCGGCGCCGCCTGGAAATGCACCCCGACGTTGGAAATCTCGGACTGCTTCACCGCGTGCAGATCCTTGTACTGAGCAACCCAAGTCGCGCGCAACGCGCGCACGGGGGCGGGCTGCCGGCTTCGGCGACGCAGCGGGACGACGTCGGCCATCGGCACGCCCCGGCGAGAAAAAGTTCCCACGATGAACGCCGGGTCGCCGGCGATGTACCCGAACAGCCCTCCCTGAGGGCGCAGCCCATCAGCGCTATCCACGCAGCGCTCTGGCCGGTGGAGCAAGCTCACGCGCATCAAATGTAGCAGGCGCGGCAAAGTCCTGCCGGCCGCCACGCGCTGCGCCCTCTGTCCTGCCGCGGCCACGCTGCGACAATCCTGGCCACCAGCGCGCGGTGGCAGGTTGGCGGGCGAGTTCGCGGGCGCCCCGCCCTCCCCCACAGGGCGCTTCTTCTTCCTCTTCCTTGTTGGCGCCGCCGATCGGAAGAAATTGCGCCTGACCATGCCGCGAGGTAGCCGGGTAGCCGGATCCCGCGCGCGCTTGCGCACCCCGATGTCCGCGCGCACCTTGCGAGGGAACTGCCGGGGCCACCGCGGCATGAAATCATGGCTTCTGCGTTCCGCCGGCTCTCGCCGATGCCGAGCTCGAGGGCGACCCCCAGCTGGGCCCCTGGCGGCGCGCGCTCCGCAGGCAGCTGCCCGGCCCAGTCAACAGGGCGCCCTGGCACGTCAGCGCCTATCGCGCCCACAATGCCCCAAACATCAGGGAAACGCCTCGTCCGCGCACTCCCCCACGGCGGTGGACACGAGCTCCTGGACTGCAGAATCCTTGATGCACCAGAGGCCCTGGCCACCCTTGAGGTTCACAATGGGGTTGCTGAACTCGCGCGCGGCGTCGATGACGCAGCACCAGGACACTGCTGCGGGCATGGCCCACGGGCGCGCCACGGTTTCCAACGGCACTCTCTTGGCCAAATGCACCTGACCAACAACGCACTGACGGAGCAGCGCGCCCTCCGCCGGGGCGTCTGGCCAAGTCCTGCGCAAAGCCTCCTGGCAGGCGGGATATTTGCTAATCGGACCCTTGCCAACGTGCAGAGTATACCACCCAGGCCGCAGCCGGGAAAAGCGCCTGGTCTCCACGGGCTTGATGCCCCGCAGCAACGCCAATGCCATCTGAGGGCCGTGAACAGTGAATGTCCGCCATGGAAGGCGGGCGTCGCTCTCCATGGTAAGCGCGGCAGGGCGCGCACTTGCCCGAACGCCTTCGAGCCCATATGCCACGGCAAGAAGGGGGTCGGGAAGGAGGGATAAGGACAAGCTAGGGGCGTTCATGCCATATCGCCAAATCTGGCGTCGCACCCTTCTCCTCCAAGCCTTGGGATTGCGTAGATCCCCTCTCTATCCGCGCAGTCGGATGACGAAGAAGGCAATGGTCCCAAGAGGGTGGGCGCGCGATACGTGGAATAGCATGGGATAACATGGCATAAAAGAGCACGGCAGAGCGCAGCATACCATTGCGCGGTGCGGCACTGCGCAATGGAGAACTGCGTGTCAGAGCATTGCGGCGCATGGCATGACATCGCATAGCGGTACACAACGCAGCATCGCATTGCACGGAAGACCGAAGCCAGGACCGAGAACGGCAACGAGACCGAGAACGGCTGCAGCGGGAGCCCCCCTCCGGCCCCCTCCTTCAGATGCAGGCACAGTCGCCGTTATCGTTGCCCGGACATTTTGGGCATCCCCGCGCGAGTGGCTGCGCTCCCGGCCCGCGCGCGCTGGGCCGCCACAGCTCGCTGCGACCTGCCCCGCAGGCCGCGGCGCAAAAGGCTTTAAAACTGCTGCTGGCAAGGCCCTCTCGAATCGCACGCCCCGTGGCCAAGCTGCCCGCTGCCGGGCCGCTCCAGCCCTGGAAAAAAAAGTTCGGCTTCCCAGCGCAAGTGGCTGCGCTCTCTGTCGGCGCGCGTTGAGCCTCCGCAGCCCGCCGCGACCTCCCCCGCAGGCCGCGTCGCAAAAGGCATTGAAACTCCGGTCGGCCAAGCTCTCTCGAACAGCGCCCCATGGCCAGGGGCTGCCCT